CTAAAGCCTAACTGGCCTGCTGGGCCTGGGCGCTAGGGCCGCAGACCGCAGAGCTTCCGGCCGAGATCGCGGTCAGCGATTAAATTCTTTCTCTCGCCCATCATCTGCCCGGAATCCCTTTCTGACCTGGTGGAGTTTTTTAAGCTTTTTTCAAAAATAATTTTTATTCTTCACTTTACGGTGAAATGCAACCCATGTCCGTAAAACTTGCAACAGCCTCAACAAGGATAATGACTGCAATTGATTGGGAACATGATATATATGTGTTCATGATGGTTCCCCAAGATTGGCCACCATTGCCCATGGCAAGAATACCAGCTTTTCATTTTGAAAATTATAAATAAAAGGAAAGTATCAAACATCTCTCCTGCCCTTCCTGAACGAACTGTACATCAGAGTCACAAAATAGTTGTGGAGGAAAAGTTCTTCTGTTGAGAAAAGACCAGCTAATAAATGAGGAGGGAATGAGAGAACTGGAAAATCATTTTATACCCCTTAACGAAATGATGGATCCACGTGACGATCATGGAAAGAGACTAAAATGAGCAGGTGAAAGTCAAGACCTGAGCCCGCCAATCAATCGTAGTATCAGGAAGTAGCTGGCGCCACCTGTGATGGATTCTTGCCAAAAGACGTTGAGCTTGAACCTGATCAGGCCTCTAGATCTAACCGACCGTTTACAGGAAACATGGGGGGGATAGAGAAACTAATGAGAAGAAGCAGAAGCAATCATCCAAATCCGGAATGTATGGCATTCTGTAGGGCAACTGATCCATTTCTTCAACAAATAAATGGCCTAAAATGGAAGAGGAGTATTGATTTTAAAACCACTGAGGCACCAGGGCTCATGTAAGAATTAAGAACCTAATAAATCAAATGCAATTTGAAAACCTTATTTCCATCCTGAATCAAGCAAACCAAGTCCAATACGACATTTTTTTTGAGACAACTAGAGAAATGAAACTTAATTTTTGCCAATCTGACAAAAAATTGTGTCTTATGTTTGAACTTACATTTTCTGTATTCCTGATGAGGTTTTCACACATTTAATGGCCGTTTGATTTGCTCACACGTGAATTGGCTGTTCATATCCTTAGACCATTTTTTTATTTTTAATGTCAGTCTTTTTCTTTTTTTTTAAAATAGACTTTTTTACTGAGATGTTACATACAGACAGAATATAATGGATTTTCACAGACTGAACACAGGGTAGCCAGCACTCAGATAAAGAAAGGGAGCCTGACCAGCCCCAGAAAGTCCCCTTTGTCCCTTCCCATTTGCTATGCCCCACCCAAATTTAGGAGACTCATTTGTTCAACATATTTGTGAGATTCACCCAAGTTGTGTATATACCTTTTCTTCTTTATTTACAGAATGTTCTTTATATCTTCCGGAGGCTAATCCTTTGGTAAATAATATTTTAGAAAAAATATAGGAAAATATATTTGGATGCACTTTTTATTTATTTAGTAAAATATTTAACACAGAAACTGTAGCTCTCTCCTCTAAAGCATATTTTTTTTTTTTGCAAAACCTATTGAAATTAAAATATAACTAAAAAAAAATGTTCCTATGTATACTAGCTAAATCCTGTGGTACACTGTCTGTGGATTTTGGTTTTTTGCAGGCTGCAAGGGGCTTATCCAAATTCAATTACACTCTTCATTCAGTAATTCCTTCATTCAGCAACCACCTACTCTGCAACCACACGTTGTTCTAGGTTCTGCAGGTGTTTTTTTTGGGGCAGTTAAAAAAAAAAAAACTTTATCCTTGCTAAAATTCTGAAATAACTTCTAGGGCCTTCACCTTTTTGACTGTGTGATGTAATTTAAATATTTGCCCTTAACGAATTGATGCTTGTAACAAGAACAACAAAATGCAGTACAATATAACTGTTGTATTCCCAAAATACTTACAGGATTCAGAAAACACTTTATTTCTGAGCACACTACAGTGTGATGTTGTGATGAGAGTTTAAAGTTTTCAAACAGGTGCCTGGAGGAGCCCTGGTGGTGGGCTTTGGGGGAGAAAGATGTGGGAGTCTCCTTCCCTAAATATTTACAGCCCTGGAAACCTTATCGGGCAGTTCCAGTCTGTCCTATAGGGTCGCTATGAGTCCGAATCGACTGGACCGCCAACGGTTTTTTTGCTTTGTTTTATATTTAATAGATAACCTTCTTCTGCTTCTGGCTCCGCCCTCCCTGCACATGGCTGCACCCCTTCTCCTGCCCGCCCCGCCTTTCCGTCCAATCCCGCCTCTAGCCCGACCACTCAGTGTCACAGGCAGTCGTAGTTCCCGCGAGAGCTCAACCCGGAAGTCTCACAAACGGGCCCGTGGTCTGGTAGCCCACGTGGGTTGGGCTTCGGACAGCGCTGAGGGTCGGCCGACCGAATTGAAGCGGCGCGGAATACCATGGGGAAGCTGCGCCGGCGGTACAACATCAAGGGACGCCAGCAGGCGGGCCCTGGCCCCTCGAAGGGACCCCCCGAGCCGCCCCCAGTGCAGCTGGAACTCGAGGGTAAGGCATCTCGGGACCGAGGGCTAGGCTCCGCCAAGAGGGGTCGCCTAGGGCAACGCCACCAGGACTGGCAGCCGGGGACCTTCCGGACTGTGCCCTACCTCCGGGACTCTGGGGCGGGGTCCTAGAGAAACAAAAAACAAAAACCAAACCCGTTGCCGTCGAGTGCATTCCGACTCCAAAAGCCACCATATGAGATGACCCGAAGGCAGGAGGGCAGTACAACCTAGATTTAACAGTGAATGCAGGCATTGCCAGGGTTTCTTTCGAATAGAGTCCGACCGTATATAAGAGCATGAGAAGTTGGGCAAGAAAACGAGATAATTTCATCCATTCCGATGGCTTCAATTGTAATCTCTATGCCAGCGACCCCTAACTTTCAGACCTGTCAGCTCAACTTTGGGATCTCGACATTTCTGGTCGGACGCCTCCTTTGTAGTAGAAACGCCTGGAGACATAGCAGAAAACAGACTTTAAAGAACCCTGCCTTCCTAGATTTACATGCTTCTGGGAGGAGACAGGCAAAGATAAGCTCTAAACTGTATAGAGTGTTACCTGGCTATACGTAGAAAGAATATAAGCGCAAGAGGTGGGTGGGGTGCGGGTGGGTATGGCATCACCGAGAAAGTGTTATTTGAGTCAAACCTGGAGGAGGCCAGCGTGGCGGAAAGAACAGGCCGGATCAGATGGGATCCTAAAGACTTCGGCTTTTACTCTGAGGGAGCTGGGAGCGGTGGGAGGGTCTAGAGTAGAGGAGGGACACAATGTGGACTTATGTTTTAACAGGATCATTTGGGCTGCTGTGTTGAGAAAAATGGGTGGGGACAAAGGTAGAAGCAGGGTGATCAGAAGAGGAGGCTGTTTATTACGTTAATTCGGAAGTGGAGGCAGTGGTGGAGGGGGTGAGAAGTGGTTGGGTTCAGGATGTATTTTGAAGGAGGAGTTGACTGGATTTTCTGACAGACTAGGTGTATGCATAAGAACAAAGGAGTCAGGAATGATTCCCAGGCGTTGGGCTCAGTCCCTGGAGAAGGCTGGGGGTGGGGGGGCAGCGTGGGGAACACCCAGAGCTTGGCTTTGGTTGTGAGTGGTTGGGGTGCCTGTTAGATATCCAGGCAGGCAGCTTGTGAGGCGGATGCTCACGAGAGCCAAGTCCAGACAGAAATAGCAGTTTGGGAGTCATCCTTGTCTAGATGATATGATTTAAAGTCGGAAGACAGGATAGCTCACTCAGGGAGTGTGTGTGGATGGGGCAGAGAAGAGGTCCATGGACATGAAGCCTGGGGCCATCAGGACTGGAGGAGAGGGAGATGAGGAGGGGTCTGCAACAGAGATGGAGCAGCTGAGAGGAGGGGGGAGAGCCTGGTGGCCCTGGGAACCAGGGAGGAGACTCACCATCTAAGTCAGGGAGGGAGAGAAGGACTGTAAGATCACTGTAGGGGATGGGAAGGGTTGTGGTGACCTCAGTGGGAGCAGTTTCAGAGCAAAGTTGAGGCAAAGCTAGATTGAATGGGTTCAAGGACAAGGGTGTCTTGCAGCCTCCTGAAACTGCACGTGTACCAGATTCAACTCATCTAGCAACCTGAATGTAAGCTCCAGAAGGGCCTGGCAGATTATCCCGCCGCCGTTGAGTTATTTCTGTAGCAACCCTATAGGACAGGGTAGAACTGCCCCATAGGGTTTCCAAGGCTGTAATCTTTATGGAACGCGACTGCCACGTCTTTCTCCTGTGGAGTGACTGGTGGGTTCAAACTGCTGACCTTTTGGTTAGCAGCCAAGGGCTTTAGCCAGTGTACCACCAGGGCTCCTTCCTGGCACGTTAAAAAAACCTATTGCTCTCAAGTTGATTCCGACTCATAGCGATCCTATAGGACAGAGTAGAACTGCCCCATAGGGTTTCCAAGGAGCACCTGGTGGATTCGAACTGCCAACCTTTTGGTTAGCAGCCATAGGTCTTAACCACTGCATCACCAGGGTTTCCTCCTGGCAGGTTAGGCATTAGGAAAGAATGGGACTAGATTCTGGAGATGGAGGAGGGAAGGGGAGCCAGGGCCGCTGGAGGAGCCTGCTGCCTTCGACCCACCAATGTGTGTTCTGTTCCACATTCTGGTTCAACCTGGATGGCATTGACGGTGCCAGAAAGACATCAGAGTGGGAATCTGGGGGTTTGAATTCCCTCCTCAGAAGTGGCACAGATTGGCTGGGAGGTGAGGCAGATTGCGTCTCCGTGCCTCAGTTTCTTTATCTATAAAATAGGGCCAACAGTAATAGACGTCTTACCTGTTCTTAGAGTTTTGGAGATGGCGTTTTGGGAAAACACATTTATGACTGAAGTGAGAATGTGGAGGCGTGGTGTGTCCCACGATGGACATCAGCAATTGTAATAGCAGTGACAACTCAAAGCATGAGAAGGTCCTGCTAAGGGGGCAGAAGACAACCAGGGTGACAGTTTTAACTGGGTGACCAGAGCAGAGGTGCTGAGGCTTCTTGGACTCAAAAATTTGGGAGAAGTTGCTTCTAACATCAGAACGAGACATCTGTGTTTATCCTCGCCTTTCTCAAAGGCCAGAGGGATCTTTCAACAACATAAGTTAGATTGCACTCCTGCTTAAAACCTTCCAATGAGTTTTTACACATATAGGATAAAATCCTGCCTCCAGGCAGGCCCCACATGACCCTGCTGCCCCTGCTCCAACTTTAACCTTCTCTCCTGTCCCTATGGAGCCCCTGGGTGGTGCAGTGGTTAAGTCCTCTGCTGCTAACTGAAAGGTTGAGGGTTTGAGTGCACCTAGACGCGCCTCGGAAGAAAGGCCGGGTGATCTACTTCTGAAATATCAGCCACTGAAAACCCTAACGAGCACAGTCCTACTCTGACACACACGGGTTCACCATGAGTTGGAATCAAGTCGATGGCAGCTGGTTTTGGTTCTTCCTGTTCCTATTCCCACCTGCCCTTTCTGTTGCACTTATACCAGCATCCTTACTATTACTCAGACACAGTAAAGCTTCCTCCTGACCCAGGCCTACACCTTTATTTCTGTGTGTACAGGGGCTTACAGATAGGGCAGGAGGGCAGCTGGCGGTGACGACATGGTGTATCATGCATCAGAAATATCTGGCTTCTGGGGCTGTGGATGAGACAAGCATGTCTTTTCAGATAAGGGAACGTTGAAAGGCGTTGATGCAAGCAACGCACTCGTTCTTCTGGGGAAAAAGAAGAAAAAGAAGACCAAAGCCCCTCCCCTATCGAAGAAGGAGAAGAAACCTCTGACCAAGAAAGAGAGGAAAATGCTGCAGAAAATCTTAGAACAGAAGGAAAAAAAGAGCCAGGTACGCCCTGCTCTCTGAGGGTCGGCACATGGCTCTTCAGAGTGGGGAGAGAAGGGGCGTCTGAATTCCCACAGTGCAGTATAGAAAGCAGTGCTGTCCAACAGGCCATTCTAGAGTAAAGGAAATGTTCTGTGTCTGCCACACAGGCAGCTCCATGTGGCTACTGAGTACTTGAAATGTGGCCAGTGTGGCTGAGGAATTGAACTTTTTAATTCCATTTAATTTTAATAAATTTAAATTCAAATAGTTACGTGTGACCAGCAGCTACTGTATTGGACACACAGCTCTAGAGCCTTCTGAGCCTCCCGAGGGGAAGCTGCTTGGGTCTCGGTCAGTCTAGTGTGTGTCCAGGTGTGCTGAGGCCCTAATGTTTGTTAGCCGGGAAGTATGTTGATCAATGCTCTCACTTTTTATCGTTGTTCTTGTTGAGAGTATACACAGCAAAACATACATCAGTTCAATAGTTTCTCGTATAATCGTTTATTCTAGGAATCACGTTCTTTTTGGGTGTTAATATTTATTTTATAGGCCTGTCTATTGCTTGGCTGGTAAGTAGTATTGTTTGGTTTTTAAGAAGACTTCAGGGAATATTTTTGGCTTAAGGTTTAAGTCCCCCCCCCTTTTTTTTTTTTAGGTCATTTTATGTTATTTGTTTTTTAACTTCAGAGAATTTCAAACTTTTTTACTTTATTTATTTTGCTCGAGTTAACAGTCCTTTAACATAAAATCCGACATTTTAACCTTTTAAAGTGTATAGTTCAGTGGGTTCCAGTATATTCACAGTGTTGCATAATCATCACCACTAGAACAGCTGCCCCAAGCCTGCTGCATCTGTTAAGAACACTGTGCAGCAATGCAATTGTGACCTGACCATTGATTTAAAAAGACTTCAGGTATTAGTGATACTGAGATTGTATTTAGGGTCTCACCTCCATTCTGAAGAGAAGGTCATGATGCAAAATGTATAATACACCTGCTTCCTCCCCCAGCGAGCAGAGATGCTAAAGAAATTGAGTGAAGTCCAGGTTTCAGACACGGAGATGAAGCTCTTTTACACCACATCCAAGCTGGGCACAGGAGACCGCATGTACCACACCAAAGAGTGAGTCTTTCTGTCCTGTTCTGGAGCTCCTTCTTCTTTCCCGGGCCCCTCAGGGGAAGAGCTCACAAGACATAGACTCTCCTACGTGTAGACGAGGAACTCTGGTTAGCACTTGGCTGCTAACCGAAAGGTCAGTAGTTCAAACCCACCAGCTGCTCAGCGGAAGAAAGATGTGGCAGTCTGCTTCTGTAAAGATTACAGCCTTGGAAACCCTATGGGGCAGTTCTGTCACACGGGGTCTTTTATGAGTCAGAATCGACTGGACAGCAGTGGGTTTGGTTTTGGTTTCTGGGTTGACAAGGTACTCTGGTGGCACAGTGGTTAAGCACTCAGCTGCTAACTGAAAGGTTGGAGGTTAGAACCCACCAGCCACTCCACAGGAGAAAGACCTGGCAATCTGCTTCCATAAAGATTACAGCCTAGAAGTCCTATGAGGCATTTCTACTGAGTCAGAATCGACTGGACAGCACACAACATGGGTTGACATACAAAATACATTTGGGTTGATGGTCATTAGAGCTAAAGAACCTCTCAAGGGTGAAGCTTGCAGGCATTGCTAAGCCCTCTACAGTGCATGGGGCAGCAGAGTTTCTTGTTCCCATGACTTCGGTGTTTCCTACAACACTGAGTCCTGCTTTACAGGTCCTCTGGGCTCTTACACGGTAATGGGGCCAGAAACTGCCGTCAGGTGGTCAAGAGTCGATTTGGCCTGTTACTGGGTTTTTTTTGGCTGGCGTGGCATTATTAAGGCATTCAGATAGTTTGCCAGCAGGTTTGTTTCCTGGGGCTGCTGTAAGAAAAGACCACCAACACGGTGGCTCAAAACAAAATAAACTTATTTTCTCACAGTTCTGGAGGCCAGAAATCTGAAATCAAAATGTCAGCAGGGTTGGTTCCTTCTGGAGTATCTGAGGGAGAAATTATCGCATGCCTCTCCTAGCTTCTGCTCGTTGCTGGCAAACCTTGGCCTTGCTTGGCTTGTGGTGACATCACTCCAGTCTCTGCCTGTGTCGTCCCACGGCCTTCTCCTGCCTCTGTGTCTCTGTTTCCTCTTCTTGTAAGGATACAGTCATTATATTTAGCACAAATGCAGCATCACCTCATTTTAAGATATTACATCTGCAGAGACCCTATTTCCAAGTAAAGTCACATCCTCAGTTTCCGGTGAACATGGATTTAGAGGGATGGTAAGACAGTATTCAACCCAGTACAGCCAACTTTTAAGAACTAAGAGATTTCACTTTGAAGTCAGATTCCTGGCTGACCTTGGGCAGTTGGATGGTCTGGCCACCCCAGACTCACAGTCCCATAGGGTGGCAGATGGCTGTAGCTGCAGGCTCCCAGCCCTTAAATGGAGCCTAGGTGCTCCTCCCAACATAGCCCCCAGCCTTCTCTGCTCTCCTACACTCAGCCTGCTTTGTTCATTCACGGTATCACCAGCCTGCTCCCTGTAAGCATCGTTCACGTAATGACTTTTCGAGTGCAAACTACATCCCGGCGCTGCTCAGGGTGGTGGAGACAGAACGGTGCACATAAAAACATCCCCTCCTTAAGGAACTTGAATTCTAGTGGTGGGGAGATGGGCAGTAATCAGTCAGATACATAGTATATCTATGCTGAGAAGGGCCCAGAAGAAACTAGGGCAGGGAAAGGAGGAAGGAGGGACAGGGTGGGTGTTGTGGGCTGCGTAGTCCAGGAAGGTCTCCTTGATAAGGTGACATTTAAGCAGAGACTGGAGTGAAGTGGGGATACTTAGCTGCAGGAAAGGTGCTTCACACAGGGAGTAGCAGGTGCAAAGGCTCTGGAGTGGGAACGGCCTTGGCATTTGAGTCCTGACCTCTGACCACTGTGTGGCCACCAGAGCTGCCTTGGATGTCACCTGGCTCACATTAGGACCTTGGTGCCTGACATTCTCCTCTCCCTGCAGGAAGCCTGATGAGGTTGCCCCCCAGGGTCCAGAGGAGATCAACAGCCTCAGCGGGGCCCACCGGAAGCGCCGCCGCCAGCAGTCAGAAGAAGAGGAGTCTGAGTCCTCTGAGGCTGACGAGGCTGACGAGGCCTTGGCTGCCGGGCAGGTGGAGGCGGGTGCAGGGACAGCCGTCCTACGTCTACTGCCAGCCCCGCCTGAGGCCCAGGGCGAAAGCCCAATGCCCAGCTGTCAGCCCACCTGGGCCGGGACCTCCACTGCTGCTCCTGCCCCTCCAGCAGCCACCCCGACCGCAGCCAGGCCCCTTGCGAAGCCCGCTGTCTTTGTCCCTGTGAACCGCTCCCCCGAGATGCAGGTTCGCTGCTCCCGTGCTTGTGATTAAAGGCTGGGTCGCCCAGTGAAGGAGGGGCTGGTGGTGTGGGGCAGGTGACAAGCCCTCTCTGCTGTCTGTCCTCACCTGGAAAAGGGAAGAATAACCGTACCTACCTTCTTGTTCTTGATTGTACAGCAAAGCCTGTGAGAGCCAGAACTCGGTGCGACTGCCTGGTTTTTCCAGGTCTCGCCAGTTTTCCGCCTTTGACAGGGTGCAGGCACCACTTTTCTATTACTCTCTATTTAGTGGAAAATATCTGGGTTTTCTTTCTCTGACAGGTTTCCGTGTTACACAGCTTCCGGCTTTCACAGGTTTTACTCTAGTACTAGATTTCAGCAGGCGTATTACCTGGCTGTTCAGAGCCTGATGGGCAGATACACGTGAGAGTGTCTTAGAACAAGCCGGACTCTGCCTCAGGGCTGCTGATAGCAGTGCTGTCTCATTACTGCCATGGCCACCTCCAGCTCCTGACCGTGGTCCCGGCCCAGGTCTAAGCCACATAGGAGTTTGGGCCGTGGACTCAGCCTGGTTCCACCACTTTGTAGCTCACTTCTTGAACCTTGTTTTCTTCGTCTGTAAAATGGGGGTGTTCAGTCTACGTAAGGCGCTCCACCGCTCCCCGCCGCAGTTTCCTTATCTGGTAAAGTGAGGATGTCCTTGGGTTGCCACGGCAGTGAGAGGATTTGGGGTGTAAGGCCCGCAGCCTGTGGTCAACATGGGGAAACCTCGGCAGAGCGGCCGTGGGCTGTGTTGTCTCGGGGTGGGTATGACTTTTTGGTGACATGGACATCACGCTGTGCAGCCTTTCTTTTTCTGGTGGGGTCCCTTGGGATTATCTTCCCCGCCGTTCTGCAGGGTACCCTCCCAGTGCCCTGAGCACTGACTCCCTCTCTCCTGTCAGGAAGAGCGGCTGAAGCTCCCAATTCTCGCAGAGGAGCAAGTGATCATGGAGGCGGTGGCCGAGAACCCCATTGTCATTGTGTGCGGTGAGACCGGCAGCGGCAAGACCACGCAGGTGCCGCAGTTCCTCTACGAAGCCGGCTACAGCAGGTGGGGGCTGGCCTGGGGTTCTGGGGAGTCCTCCCCACCCGGGGTGCAGGGAGGCAGGTCCCTCAGGTGACAGCAGAGAGCAATCCCCCAAAGTCATTAAGAGCATGGACTCCCGAGATGGAATCCAGGCTCTGCCATTTACATGCTGTGTGGCCTAGGGTAAGCTACTTGCCCTCTCTGTGCCTCAGTTTCCTCAGTTGTAAAACGGGCTTCACCACAGCACCTAGTTCACGGTTATGGATTAAATGAATGAGTTCATGTGAAATGCTCAGAGCAGCACCTGGCACAGAGCGTGGTGTGTTGACTGGTGTTGGGTTGCCTCCTGTTGGTGCATTTGGTCCCTGTGTCCAAGGTCTCAAGACCACGCCCAGGTTCAGTGATTCACTAGGACTTAGCATGTACTTGTACTCAGGCTATTCCGTATTTTTACGCAAATAATGCGTGCCTTCTATGTTTGCTTGCCAACCACTCCATCCCGCATGAGGTATTTTCATTAGCAACGCTGTGCTAATTTTGTTTCTACGTGTTGCTGTAAAAAAAGAAATCAGCGCAGCGCACTTACGAAAATACCTCAAGGCGAGAGGGAGCAGTTGGCAAACAAGTGTAGAAGGTGTGTGTTATTTGTGTAAAAATATAGTGTGTATTACAGCGAAAGGACACAAAGCAAAATTGGCAGAGACGAGACATGTGGGGCAAAGCCCCGGAAAGCCAGGCGCAAGCTTCCAGGGTCCTCTCCCTGAGGAGTCAGTTCTGACTCATGGCAACCCTACGTGTGCAGAGTAGAACTACTCTGTTGGGTTTTCAAGGCTGTGACCTTTCAGAAGCAGGTCACCAGGCCTCTTCCAAAGTGCTTCTGGGTGGGTTCAAACCGCCACCCTTTTGGTTAGCAGCCAAGCAGTTAACCGTTTGCAGCACCCAGAGACTTCTACCTCTTACCAGCGTGTCCCAAAATTCCAGACTCCCATTTGATGTTCAGTATACACCACACAGTTTGTACAAACAGCTTAGACACAGTGAGCCACCCTTATTGGGATGGTGAGGGAAAAAAGCCAAAACCAAACCTGTTGCCACCGAGTCAATTCCGACTCATAGCGACCCTGGAGGACAGAGCAGAACTGCCCCACAGGGTTTCCAAGGCTGTAGTCTTTACAGAAGCAGACTGCCACATCTTTCCTCCCATGGAGTGGCTGGTGGGTTTGAACTGCTGACCTTTCACTTAGCTACCAAGCACTTAACCACTGCGCCACCAGGGAACCCTCCCTGAATCCAAATTCCTTACAAGCAGGTCTTTCTAAGGATGGCAGTCTTGGGCCTGCTCCGTTAACTCTTTCCTGCCCAGCCTGGAACCTAGCAGCCCATCCCCCTCGGTGGCTCCTTGTGTCTTGCGCTCGGCTGGGTCGGGCCGAGCTCCCCCAAGCTGTGTCCATAGCAGCGGCCAGTGCTGCACTGAAGCACGGCTGCCAAACCATCGCCGTCTCCAGCACTGACACGTGGGCCGCTCCATTTTCCTGTTGCGAGCAGTGCTGCTGGGCACAGCCCAGTGTGGGTGCCACGGTGCCCCTGAGGGAGTGTGAGTCGGCTGGGTGCATTCCGTGTGCCTGGGGACAGACACCACAGATGGGGCAGTGCTAACCCGGTGTTTGTCCTCTCCCACCCACAGCGACGACAGCATCATCGGGGTCACAGAGCCACGCCGAGTGGCCGCCATCACCATGTCCCAGAGAGTGGCCAAGGAGATGAACTTGTCACAGCGGTGAGGGCCCCTCCTTCTGGGGTGGGTGGGGGGTCACGTGGCTTTGCCCAGGGCAGGGCACGGAGGCGTGCGGTGTTGCAGGCCCTGGTCCATCCAGAGGGCGCTGGGGGAGAGTGCTGCATGTCAGCTTTGCAGGCGTCTCCTAGTACAAGGGCCTTCCTGCATGGGCTTCCTGCACTGGGACAGCTAGACTGGCCTGGGGGCCCTGGAGTAGGAGGGCCAGCCACGCCGTCAGGCTCACAGCACACAGAATGGCACTGAGAGGAGCTGGAGGGCTGTGCAGAGCTGCAGGTGACCAAACTCAGGAAGTCTTGTAATTCATACTTAATTAACAGGTGAAAAACAAGTTGCCATTGAGTCAATTCTGACTCATGGCGCCCCACGTGTATCAGAGAAGAACTGTGTTCCCTAGGGTTTTCAGTGGCTGATTTTATAGAAGTGGGTCGCCAAGCCTTTCTTCCAAGGTACCTCTGGGTGGACTCGACCTCCAAACTTTTGTTTAGGAGCACCACCCAGCGATTCCTTTGTCACACCTTCCAGGTATATAACAACAACTCCTAGATTCTCTCTGGTCTGTGTTCGGATTCGCTGATTCACAGACCCAGCTGTAACCAAGGTCCACACTTATGGTTGGCTGACCTGCTCTGGAGTCTTTTGTTGCCTAAACGGCTCCCTTCCCCCTTCACACTGGAGACCAGGGCTCTGGAGTGGGAGAGAGGGCTGGAGCTGGTGGGCCTTGTTGGGGGAGCTGGTGGGCCCTGCCCTCAGCCCTGCCAGCCCAGTGTGGGCCAGGACCCCTCTGCTAACCCCCTGAAGTGCTCTTGGGGCTACATGGGGCTCCCTGCTCTGGGGGACTGCATGCCCTGAGCCACAGCCTGTCCACACAGAGTCGTCTCCTACCAGATCCGGTACGAAGGCAACGTGACTGAAGAGACGAGAATCAAGTTCATGACGGATGGCGTGCTGCTTAAAGAAATCCAGAAGGTCGGTCACTCGTCTCCAAAGCCAGGTGGAGGGCCGGGGGCCAGGGAGGGAGGACATCACCCCTGGTCTGAGCAGCCATTGCACCAACTTTTGGCCAAGTGTTACGTGCCGCTTTGCCACTGTGTGACCTTGGGCAAGTTACTTAACCTCTCTGAGCCTCTGTTTCTTCACCTGTAAGCTGGCCCTTCCTCCTAGAATCGTTTTGAAGCAAACATTGTGTGATGCCTAAGGACAGCTTTGCATCAGTACCAGACAGATGCTCATTAAAGGGGTGCTCGTGTTTGTATCACGATCGGGTTTTCCGAGTTTATGTGTCTGCCAAACACGTAAGAATGCGTATTCCACCCAGGCGCTGACTCGTGTGTGGGACACAGCGGTGGACCCAGACCCAGGGCGACTGCCCCTGTGGACCTCCTCGTCCCATGGGGGAAGCACAGTCCAGTGCGGGGGCAGCACCACGTGGGGAATGGGCTTCCAGTCCGGTTCTGGGGCACGGGGCATGCCCTGGTTCTGGGCCCAGAGCAGTAGTGTGTTTGTACATTCCCCAGCCGTGGACACCTGGGTTCAAAGAGCGTTCAGTACATGAAACAGCACACTCAGCTGCTGCCTCCCTCAGGGGCTCCGGCCTGCTTCAGGGAGGTTCCTAGGGAGTCAGAACATTCTGGAACCTCGGCCCATTGGTTCCACAGGGGTGGCGTGAGTGTCCCCCATGAGCACACAAGGCTTGGGTTGAGAGCCTCTGTCCTGTGAGGGCATCTCTTCCTGCTGGGTGACATCCCCTCGGGGCTGAGGTGGGCAGTGGGGACTCCTGCATCCTTTGCCTCCAGGGCCAGCTGGGGCACCTGGAGGGGAGCTGTGAACGTGATTTGGGGTCTGGATGCCCCTTTCTGTAAGGCGTGTGCTGTCCTTTGCCCAGATCCCCACCCCATGTTCCACTCATTTCTGTTCCCTCCCCCTTCCCCACACCTCAGACACCTGCATGTGGTAGCTCAGCCCTTAGGAATAGTAGCTTGCTGTTTTGTAGACCCCGTGCCAAGTCCTTGTATTTCATAGGTATTAAAAACAAAACCCACTGTCCTCAAGTCAGTTCCAACTCATAGAAACTCTATAGGACAGAGTAGAACTGGCCCATAGGGTTTCTAGGGAGCAGCTGGTGGAGTTGAACCGCCAACCTTTTGGTGAGCAGCCGAGCTCTTAACCACTGTGCCGCTAGCTGTCATCAAATTCTCACTATGACCCAGTGAGGTAGGGCCTGTTAATCCCATCTCACAGGTGAGACTGAGGCACGGGGCAGTAGGCTAACTTGCCCAAAGTCACAGGGGTAGGAAGTAGCTGGGCCCGGGCTTGCCCCTGCAGGCTGAGTGGCTGTGGGGTCCCACCGGCATCAAGGGGGCTCCTGGAGCGGGAGGTTCAGGGCCAACCTCACTGGGGGGCACTAGCAGGAGATGACCCCCCGACTCCTCCCCAGGACTTCCTGTTGCGGAAATACAAGGTCGTGATCATCGATGAGGCCCACGAGAGGAGCGTGTACACCGACATCCTCGTTGGCCTCCTGTCCCGTATCGTGACGCTCCGGGCGAAGGTGACACGGGGCGGGCAGCTGAGAGTCCCCAGGTCAGGACCCCCACTGCTGTCAGGCACCTGGGCTCCCTTCGCCTACGTATATTCATCCTCCAGGCTGCTGCTCTGAGGGTTCCCCAAGGACATGAGCCCCCCCAGTGCCAGGGCCGAGACTCTCGGTGTAAACAGTCCCCTGATTCTGCACACTGCCCCCCTCCAGGCCCCTGGGTCCAGCCCTCATAAACTGGTTGTCCTCGTCTCCATTCAAAATGAGACGCCCAGGCAAGGAGCTGATGCTGCTGCCGAGCCCCCTGGAGCCCAGCTTTAAAATACCACTGGGTCTTAGGAATCCACATGGTGTACGGGGCTGCTGGCCAGCTCCGAGATGCCTGGCCGGTGCCTGACCCCATGCCAACCTCCCCGTCCTCTGAGCTGGCAGCAGAAGGGCTGTGTCCTCCCTGCATCGTCCATCCCGCCCCTTGATCAGGCAGTAGCAGGCCTCTGAGCCTAGCTCGGTCAGGGGATGCAGCCCCAGGGTGGGGAATCTGTGGAGCAGATTGTCCTGGCCTTCCCTGGGCTTGTCAAGAAGGTGACACCCACGCTTAAGCCTAATTCTTGCGAGTGCAAGGGGCAGAATATTCATCCAACAGATGTCAGCTGGGTGCCTGCCGGGTGCTGGGGCCTGTTCCATCCACTGGAGATACACCTGTGAACGAGACAAACAGTCCCTGCCCTCACGGAGCTTCTACTTTAATGAGGGCAGCAGGCAATAAGTAAACACTGTGAGGTAGTGCTGGACAGAGCCGGGAGGGAAGGGAGAGTGCTAGGGAGAAGGTGGAGGGCTGAATGACGAGGGTAGACCTCAATGAGGAGGCAGCATTTGAGTAGAGGGCTGAAGGAGGCGAGGGAGCAAGCAGGGTGGACAGAGGGGGGAAGAAAGTTCCAAGCAGCAGAAACAGCAGGTACAAAGGCCCTGAGGCAGGAATCCATATGGTGTTTTTTCTTTTTTTTGTATTAATATTTTATTGAGTTTTTGGTGAAGGCTTACATAGCACTTTACATTTCCATTCAACAATTTCTACACTAGTTGATCAGTTACATGGGTTACATTCTTCACAATGTGTGTGAACGGTCTCATTATTTCCATTCTGATTGTTCCATTTCCATTAATCTAGTTTCCCTGCCTTCCTACATTCTTATCTTTGTTTTAAAGTTAATTGCTGACCATCTGGTCTTCTATAGGTGATCTTTTAAAAGGAGCACAGTACTTACGGGTGAAACTCATTATTTTTTGATGACTTTTCTGTTTCATTGAGATATAATTCACATACCACACAATCCACCCATTTAGAGTGTACAGTTCAATGGGTTTTCACATGTTCAAGGTTGTGCAACCATCACACGTCAATTTTAGAACAGTTACATCATTACAAAAAGAAACCCTGCACCCTTAGCCATCACCCCCCAGCACTAGGCAATCACTAATCTACCTTTTATCTCTATAGATTTGCCTTTTTATGTCTGGATAATATTCTGTTGTGTGGACATGCCACATTTTTGTTTATCCATTTCTTAGTTGGACATTTGAGTTGTTTCCACTTTTAGGCTATTATGAATATCGCTACTGTGAACGGTTATGCGCAAGTTTTCATGTGAAAACACATTTTCAGTTCTCTTGGGTGCATACGTAGGAATGGAGCAGCTGGTCATAGGCTAACTGTGTTTAGTGTATTGAGGAACTTCCAGACTGTCTTCCCCAGTGGGAGCACCATTTTACATTCCCACCAGCAGTGCTCGAAGGTTCCTGTTTCTCCACATCCTTGCCAACACTTGTCTGTCTTTTTTATTCTAGCCATCCTAGTGGGAGGGAATTGGTATCTCACTGTGGTTTTGATGTGTGTCTGGTGTCCTATGAGGAATATCACAGAGCCCAGAGTGGCTGGAGCAGAGGGAGTGAGGTGGGGAGAACTAGGAAATGGGGTCAGAGAGGTACAGGGGCTAGGTGGGTCCAGACTGAGGAGGCCATTATAGGGAGCGTGGCAGGGGCCTTGGACCTGTGCTGTGCCTCTGACCTTTGCTTTGTTTTCACCAAAGACACTGACTGTTCTGTCGCACTTGGGTTTGGGGTTCACTAGTAAAGACAGCCTGCTCCCACGGGCTGGGGAACCTACCATGAAGCACCTACTGAGGCCATCAGGTGCTGCCAACGGAGCTGGGAACTAGGGAATTCCAACCCCACTCCACCCCAGAGAATGCAGGCAGCTCCTTCTTGAGCCTCAGGGACAGATGGACAACCAGCATGAGGGGAGAGAAGTCATGTGGGAGCTGGCAGCAGCCGTGACAACTTTGGTTTGGGTGGACCCCGCTCTCAGCCCTTCTGCCTCACATTCCACCATTAGAGCTTCACTCCTTTAACAAGACCCCACTCTGGGAGAGCCAAATCCTGCTACCAGCTCACTTTATCTGAGAGGTCTTTGGTTATCAGAAACAGTTGTAAGGGGTGGTTTGAGGGGTTCCAGGAGGGCAGAAGAAGACTTCCCCTGCCTCCCCAGTTTTCCTCCAGACCCAGCCAGACCACTGGGTGGCTGTGGGTCACTGAGCCTCTGCTGTCCGCAGAAGCATCTGCCGTTGAAGCTGCTCATCATGTCGGCCACGCTGCGGGTGGAGGACTTTACCCAGAACCAGCGACTGTTTGCCAGGCCGCCTCCGGTTATCAAGGTAGGGCTCAGGCCAGAGTCCCGGGCAGCTGCTAAAGCGTGGCCTGCTGTGTCAGCGTGACAGAGCGAGGACCCCCTGGTAGCTCAGTCACATGGGAAGCCAGCAAAGTGTTAGAGAAGCGTTAAAGACCCGTTAGCACCAAACTGAGATGTTCGCCTTGACTCAGATCAGGAAAGGGGAAGGGACTGATCCTGGGCTGGTGACGCCTCTTTTGTCACCTCCCCCTGGCCGCCCCACACCTCTCGGTTGTCTTTCCTAGGTTGAATCCAGGCAGTTCCCAGTGACTGTGCATTTCAACAAGTGGACACCGCTGGAAGACTACAGCGGCGAGTGCTTCCGGAAGGTCTGCAAGATCCATCGCATGCTGCCGGCAGGTGAGGCCTTGGCCAGGTGAACAGCCGAGTCACCTTTCCCTTTCCAAGTCGTGATGGGGGCAGGCGGTATAGCACGGGCTTGCTGCCCAGGCTCTCGGCCTGCCCTCGAGTGGCTCGGCAAAGGCACTTGTCCTTGCTGGGTCTCAGTTTCCCCACACAGGTTCCACAGCGTTCACCACACTGGCTATCCTCCTGTCTGAATTACTGTGGGGCTGCCGTGACTGACTGGAACGGTGCCCTCTGTCCATAGCAGATAAGCAGAGTCATCCACAGGGCACCAGAAACCCGTTGCCATTGAGTCCATTCCGACTCAGCAACCCTGTAGGACAGAATAGAGCTGCCCTACGGGATTTCCAAGGCTATAATCTTTACGGAAGCAGACTGCCACAGCTTTCTACCCGCAGAGCGGCTGGTGGATTGGAATCGCCGACCTTTTGGTTGGCAGCTGAGTGCTTAACCACTGCACCACCAGGGCTCCTGTCACATTCAATGTTTGCAAATAATCATCGTTGGAGAAACCTGCCTTGGCCTGCGGCTGCCACCCTGTCCTTGTCTTTCACAGCAAGGACAGGTTGAGAAAGATGTGTCTCCATCTCCATTCCTCACTTTCCCGCAAGGTCATGGTATGGCTTCTGCCCCTTCATGCCACTCACACTGCCTCCCTGAGGTCACCTTCATGTCTTTGCACTTGGCCGTTTGACAGTGTTTGGTAGTGTAGACCATTCCCCCTTCCTGAAGCATCCTCCTCTCTCTGTTGTCTTCCTTCGCTCCCACCCGCTGGCCTTCTGTCTCGTCTCGTCTGTGGGCTCCATCTCCCCGTCCTCCTCCATAAAGGTCACTCTTCTGTGGGTTCTGCCCTGGGCCCTTCCCCTGTTCAGCTCAAGGTCAGAGGTGGGCAGAATTTTTCTGTTCAGGGCCAGATAGTAAACATTCAGCAGGCACTGCAATGTCTTTGACACCGCAGCTCAACTCTGCCATTGTAGGTGACAGTAAGTCAATGAATGGATGTGGCTGTCTCCCAGTAAAACTATATTTATAGAAATGGACAGCTGTGAGATCTGGCCCTTGGGCTGTAGTTTGCCCAGCCCTGCTCTAGCTGGCTCTCACAGCCGGTCCACTTACCTCCGTTCCCTGGGTGGATCCTGAGCCCTTGACTGTCCCCGGCTCAAGGATGGCCACTTGTCCCTCACCCTCCCCTCTGGACCTCTCCCGCACATCTGCCAGAGCGGCCCTCAACCCTCCTGCTTACAGTCCTCAGTGATGTGCCTCCCCCTGGGGATGAAGACTGAACTCCTTGACGCCCTGCCCGCTTCTTCCTCTGTGCCCTTGTCCCTCGCCTACCCTTCCTCCATGCCCATTCTCCACGCGGGCCCTCACCGCTACCCCATGCTCGCTTCTCAGCCAAGGGCAAACCCCCTCCCCTGCCAGGGCTGCTTTTTTTTTGTTATATATATATATAATTTATTTCTGTTGTTGGAAATACGCATACTAGAACATAACACCAATTCCACTGTTTCCACATGTACAATTCAGTGACATTGATAACATTCTTCACATAAACTGACTGCTCCCTGAGGTTCCCATCAAACCTTGCGAGTTGCTGTAGACAATTTCCCAGGGATACTCTTGCTTTGGTTCACTTCTGGACCTTTCACATACTGTTCCCTGTGGTTGGTGTACTCCCCGCCCTCTGCCCAGCCCCAGCTAGCTCACACCCCTTCTTCACTTCCCCTTAGAGGCACCCCCTTATGATTGTAGCTCATCTTCCCACCACAGCACTCTGCTCTCTGGGTGGGAACTGCACTCCTGTTGGCACTCAGAGCGGGCCTTGGTGGGCTGAGTGCAAGGAGTCACAACACACTCTTCTCCCCTCAGGTGGCATCCTGGTGTTCTTAACGGGGCAGGCAGAGGTGCACGCACTGTGCCGCAGGCTCAGGAGGACCTTCCCCTGTACCAGACGGGGACCGCAAGGTAAGCCTGGCAGCTACACCCCTGACAGAGCCCTCAGCCCTGTGCGGCGGGCAGGGCAGTGTCCACGCCTGGCGGGGGTGGCAGTCAGCTGTCGGCCTCAGAGTCTCTCCTGTATCCGGCTGCGGCAGCCTTTGACTGCTCCCCTCCCTGGAATAAGTGGTCATTGCTGCAGTGGCCTTGCTCTGGACAAGGAGGAGCAAAGTCCCTGGTAGCCTGGCTCTGGCCACAAGATATCTTCCTCCCTCATCCACACATCTTTCCCCAGAAAAGGAAGAACAGAAAGATTCGGTGGAAGAAATGCGGAAGTTTAAGAAGTCACGGTCAAGGGCAAAGAAGGCTCAGGCTGCGGTAGGTAGAGTGTTTGTCAAGCCCGCTGGAGACTCAAGAGCATTACTGTCCAATGTCGTGACCACTGGCCCTACGAGGCTATTACGATTTAAGTTTAAATAAAATTTATTCATTCAGTCGCACTTGACACATTTCAGGTGCTCAGTAGCCACATGTGGCTATTTAGATTTAATTTTAAGTTAGTTAAAATGAAATAAAATTAGAAATTTTTAGAAAAAGCAAACGCATAGACATAAGTAGATCAAAGGTTACCACGGGAAATGGGAAGGGGGATTTATTGCTAAAGGGGCACACAGTTTCCGTGTGGGGTCATGAAACCATTTTGGAAACAGATAGTGGTGATGGCTGTACAACATTGTGACTGTAATTAATGCCCCTGAGTTGTACACTCAAGGATGGCTAAAATGACAGTTTCTGTATTATACATACGTTTTACCACAATTAAATTATTTTAAAAAATAAAATAAAAATTTTTTAAATTTAAGTGAAATTGAAAACTCGGTTCCTCAGTTCCACTAGGCTCATTTCATGTGCCCTGTGGCCACAGGAGGCTGGTGGCAGCTGTACTGGATAGCATGCTCTAGAACACTGCTGTCGTGAAAGAGGCTTCTGTTGGACCACACTGCCCTAGAGGCCGCAGGGCGGCTTGTGGTTTGAAACGCGTTTGAGGTTCCCTGTGCTGTGGGCCAGGAGGAAGCTTCCGGGAGGCTGAGCCCTGGTCACCTGAGTAGGTCCTGGGAGGGCAGGCAGAGCAGGAGACCCCTAGGTGCTTGAAATAGAAGCATGGGAAGTGAACTACGTATTTCTGGAAGGACGGGGGCTGGCTGCGCTGTGATGGGCGTCCACACCCAGGATGTCTGTGAGTGATCTTCCCATGGATCTGTTGACAGTACTGAAATTAGTTAGGAAGTTACTCACCCTCCCATTGCTGTTCATTGCCATCGGGTCGATTTCGACTCCTGTAACTCCACATGCGCAGAGCAGAACCGTGCTCCATAGGAGTTTCAAGGCTGTGACATTCTGGAAGCAGATGGCCAGGCCTGTCTTCGAGGTGCCTCTGAGTGGGTTCAAACCTTTGGACTAGCAGTCAAGCGCTTAACCGTTTGCACCACCCAGGGACTCCTTTACTCTCCTATGAAAAAACCAAACCAAACCCATCGCCACTGAGTCGATTCTACAGAGTAGAACTGCCCATAGGGTGTCCAAGGAGCAGCTGGTGGATTTGAACTGCCAACCTTTTAGTTAGCAGCCAAACTCTTAACCGCACTGCCGCCGGGGCTCCTTAGCCTCCTTTTGTGCTTACTGTGGGCCAGTGTTCTAAGTTCTCTATGTGTGTAAACTAATAGGATCCTCCCTGTGAGAACAGTTCTCTGATTATCCCCAATTTTGAGAGGAGGAAACTGAGGCAGAAGAAAGTTAAGTGACCCGCCCAAGGGCATGTGGGTAGTGAAGCTGGGCTTTCTGCTTGACCAGATTTGCTTTTGCCCGCCTGTGACGGGTGTCCACCCAGGGTCACCTGCAGCCTGTGGCACTGGTGTCTTTTTTCCCCTAGACATTGCCCCAGATTAGCTTGGATAACTACTCGGTACTGCCAGCGGGTGAAGACGGTGAAGACAGGGAGGCAGAGATGGACGATGACGAGGAGGGCCTGGGCTCCGACCTGGATCTGGACTTGGGGGACGAGGGAGCAGATGAAGGTGAGACCTCGGCAGAGCTTCCCGTCCTCAGGCCACTCGCTTCACTCACCAGCAAGTGTTTGCTGCGCCCCTCAATGTGCCAGGCCCTGTGCTGGGCCCTGGGGAGATGGCTGTGACGAAGATGGACCAACCATCCTGCATCGCGGAGATTGCAGTCAAGTTGAGAGCATCTCTTTGAGCCCCGAGAGAGCTGGGCTTTGTCTGCCTTGTCATCTGCTGATTCCCGAGCTCCTAAAACTGCGTGGCGCATAGGAAACCAATTGTGGTCAAGTCAGCTCTGACTCCTGGCAGCCCCACGGGTGTCAGAGTAGAACTGTGCTCCACAGGGTTTTCAGTGGCTGATTTTTTGGAAATAGATGGCCAGGCCTATCTTCCAGAGTGCCTCTGGTAGACTCGAACCTCCAACCTTTTGATTAGCAGCCGAGCGCATTAACTATTTACGCCACCCAGGGACTCGCTGGTGCAGAGTAAGCCCTCACGTATTTGTTGTTTGTAGCGGGGCCAGACCCAGGCCCCCCTTGGCTGGGTAATGTGGGCCCTGGGGCAGCTGGGCAGACTACCCTCCTGAGGTGCTCACTGGGGCCCTGTGCACGTAGACAGGCCAGCTCCCTGCCGTGTCCAGGTGGGCTGCGCGGGCAGCCCGAGGGCACCTCTGCCCTGCCCACAGTGTGCAGCTGTTCTAGGCTTGAGGAGTGCCACACGACACACAGGTGCGTGGTACCCAGCGCACACTCAGCCTGCACCCACCGCCTTGCTGCCGGGATACAGGGGTGGGGTCGAGCCCCAGGCCGAGCTGTCCAAGGCGAGCTATAGGGTGGCCGTCGGTTGGGTGGTTGCAGGGGGTTGGATTCAGGAGCAGGGTGGGGAGCGGTGGAACAGGGACAGCCTCTCACACCTCTAAGCAGTCAGCTGTCCACTGAGGCTTTGCCCACCTCCTGGGCTGGTCCCAAGGGGTGAGCTCCTGGGAGTGGGGGCTGATCTGGGGCCTCTGCGGAGCAGGCTAGGGGCGCAGGGCAGCCTGGGGTGCTGCCGCCATGGGGGTGTGTCCTGGCGGGGGGTGCCCAGTGGGCCTCTGCTCTCTCCCCAGGTGAGCAGCCAGACTCCTCCCTCCCACTCCACGTGCTCCCGCTCTACTCTTTGCTGGCCCCCGAGAAGCAAGCACAGGTGACCTGGTGGGCGTGGGTGGGTGGGGCCTGCGCACCTGGTCTCAGGGTGGCTCTCAGGGCATTGAGGTGGGGCAGGTCAAGCCTGGTCATCCCCCTTCAGCTTTTCGACCCGCGCCCCTGTGCCTTTGTAGGAGCAGGACTCTGGGATGGTTAGGAGCAGACCCCAGGCTCTGCCTCCTGCTAGCTGTGTGCTCTCAGGCACGGTTTGTCCCCCATCTGTGCCTCAGTTTACACACCAGAAAATGAGCTTACTGTTGGTGCCTGTAGCGTAGTTAGCTGCTGCTATTATTATCGTTATCGTTGTTATTGTCATTATTTATTGGCTCAGCAACATTTGACTTTAGTTCCCCAGAAGTTTCCATGTACTTTATTTTTCTCTGGTTTTGGTGCCTGTTGTAAAACACTCAGCAGATATAAACCACGAAGTAAAAAGCACCTCTGTTCCGTCCAGAAATCACCATAGTTTTCCAGACTTGTTAGTAGAAACGTATAGTTAGTATAAATGTGTATTAAAAAAAAAAGCCCTGTTGCCGTCGAGTCGGTTCCGACTTGTAGTATAAATGTACAATTCTCAGATGCTCATTCGTGGTACCCTTTAAGCATAGATGCTCAGTGGCACACGTTGACCCTTAGCTGAATTCCGAATAACGGGAGTTTTTGTTTGATCTGTGAAGTATTTTTTTGATTGGATCCATTGCTAACATTTGAGAATCAGGAGACTTGCCATAAAATTCTGGATCTCTTGCTTTTCTTGGGAGAAATGGAAAGATCTGGCTCCGGTGCTCCCACGTCCTCCCAACGGCACTGGGCTGGGCTGGGTGGGCGTGTGCCCCACACACCACGCTCCCCGTGACCCTGGCCCCTCCCATGTATGTGTCATCTGCCTGCCCCAGACATCTCTTGGTGACCCTTGACCCCTGCAGTGTATTGTGACTCACTTTTCTTGCAAATGCCCATGGGCAGTGTTCTTTTTAAATTTTAAGCTCAGGTTTGTGTTGAGATCTCCTCCTTGGAGACGAGAAAAGCTCCCCTTGTATTTAGCCTCAGGGTCAACGTGGCCAGAAACAGGGAGGACTTGTTGACTTGTGACTTCCCAGGCCTCACCCAGTCTAGCTGACTTTACTCTGATCAAGAAAGATTCCTGGCTTGGCCCCCCGACCACTACCACCTCCATCCCATGAATGCTTTCCTGATTCTAGTGTCTTCTTGCCACCCCCTCCCCAATCCCAGGTCTTCTCACCTCCCCCAGAGGGGACGCGGCTGTGCGTCGTGGCCACCAACGTGGCCGAGACATCCCTCACCATCCCTGGCATCAAATACGTGGTGGACTGTGGGAAGGTCAAGAAGCGTTACTATGACCGCGTCACCAGCGTGTCCTCCTTCCGTGTCACATGGGTCTCCCAGGCGTCAGCTGATCAGCGGGCGGGCCGGGCTGGGCGGACAGAGCCCGGCCACTGCTACAGGTGTGCACTGTGGGCTCCTCTCCCGGGACGTGGTCCCTGAAAGGCCGTCCAGCAGGAAATGAGGAAGGGTGGGCCCTCAGGGCACGTCTCTGCTGTCCCTGCCACTGTCCCCCCCTTCCCATCTGCAGGGAGTCCTGTGTTCCTCTGGAGACTTGTGCCCTTAGGAGGCTCCATGAGCCCTTTTCCTGTTGGCTTGCTCGTACCTTGCATTATTTCCTTATCCTGCTGTGGAGTCAGGCCTCCCTCTGGGCTGCTGTTTCCTTGTTTCGTTTGCAGCTTTACTGAGAGAAAATTTACATACCGCACATTTCACCCATTTAAAGGGCATGGTGCAGCGGTTTTTGGCATATTCACAGAGTTGTGCAACCAGCGGTATGACTTCAGAACCTTTCCATCACCCCAGCAGGAAGCCTCGTACCCATTCACGGTCACTCCCCATTTCTCCTTAACCCCCAGCCCCTGGGATCCACTAATCTACTCTCTGTCAATCCTGGACTTGTCATGTGAACGGAATCACATAACACATAGTCGTTTTGTATCTGGCATCTGTCGCTTAGCATGATGTTTTCGAGGTTCATCCATGTTGTAGCGTGAATCAGAACTTCATTCCTGTTTATGGCCCGGTGATATCCCACTGTGTGGGTAGATCACGTTTTGTTTATCCATTCAGCCACTGATGGACACCTGGGTTGTTCCCACCTTGTTGCTGTTACCCAAGATGCTGCAGTGAACGTTGGGATACAGCCTGAGCTCTCAGGCTGCACTTACTGCCCTGCTCTGCCCCCCAGGTTGTACTCCTCTGCGGTTTTCGGTGACTTTGAGAAGTTCCCTCCTCCTGAAATCACCCGGAGGCCCGTTGAAGACTTGATCCTTCAGATGAAAGCTCTCAACATCGAGAAGGTCAGCCACAGACCCAGGTCCTGCCAGTGCCCCACTGCCTCTGGCCTACCTGTGGGG